GCTGCGGTGCAAATTCCACTCATGTTTAGTACGTTAACTCAAAGATTCGTAGAAAAAATATAAACGTTGGACTCTGTGGTCGATTCTGTGTTAAGGCATGTTATTCGCAATTATGTGTTGTGGCTGGGTTGTTATAGGTCTGCGTGACTCTCGATGTCTTAGGCCTAACTGAACGGAGGAATTATGGTATTCTTCTGTAGCCTGACGACGAGTAACTTTAACCGTTGTTCATGTGAACTCAAAGACAGCCTGATGCTTTGTTTATAGACTATTTGTGGGTGGCTGTTTGTCGTTTCACCTATCAATTCGTGTCGATAAAGTATAATAGGGTAAATCCTGTATAGTGATTTATCCTATATAGTGCTTGCATAAAGCAAGTAGTGCATACACTTGTAGCTGTCATGTATCTTTGTAAGTCAATGTAAGCCCTCTTTTGAGGCACGCGCATGAACCCCAACCCCACCTCCCTCCCATTATGAAAAAAAAAAAAAACAAGTGGGCTCCCCCAAAGTCCACTGTATAGTTCGAACACTGTGAAAAGGCTTTTATATTTGCCAAAAATGCAAACTTTTTTTATATTAAACCAAACAAGCAAGCCCTGTCCAGATTTACTAGAAGTAACGTAATTAGTTACTTTTTTAGGGAATAACGCAATATTGTAATGCATTACTTTTAAAAGTAACTTTCCCCAACACTGTATATTACACACACACAAAGAAAAACAAATAGATAGAATAGAAAAAATAGAAAAGCTAGTGTTAAGTTTTTTAATAAAAAAAATAAAAAAATAATTTACGGATTTACTGTCCGTTTCCACTGTGGAAAATCATCTGTTCATGCATTATTGTTTTAGCACCATGAATTTTAATCTTTGGGCGCAATAAACCTTTAAAAAGAGAAACTGGCAGCCTCTTGTTGGGGATGCACTGAGCTTCACCTGTGGTTCTCTCGACTTCTGCTCCTCCGGTGTCTGCCGCGCGACCGAGAGCTGTTCAAACACATCAGCATCAAACAAACACTGCTTTAAACAGAATGCTGGGTAAAATGTGTCAGCACACTTTTTATCCTGATGAGTTTAAGGAATGAAGAACATTGAAGGTAATAAACTAAATTATATATATATATATAAATGCCGTTCAAAAGTTTGGGATCAGTAAGATTTTTAAATTAGTCTCTCAGAAATATTGTATTATTGCCATTTAAAATAATGGTTTTCTATTTTAATATGCTTTAAACTGTAATTTAGTTCTGTGATGCACAGCTGTATTTTCAGCATCATTACTCCAGTCTTCAGTGTCACATGATCTTCAGAAATCATTCTAATATGCTGATTTATTATCAATGTTGGAAACTGTTGTGCTGCTTAATATTTTTTTGGAAGCTGTGATACTTGTTTCATGATTCTTTAATGAAAGTTATAAAGAACAGCATTTATTTAAAATAGAAATCTTTTCTAACAATGTAAGTCTTTATTATCACTTTTCATCAATTTAACACATCCTTGCTGAATAAAAGCATTCATTTCTTTAAAAAAATAAATAAAAATTACTGACCCCAAACTTTTGAACGGTCGTGTTGCGAAAGATTTCTATTTTGAATAAATGTTATTCTTTTAAACTTTTTATTCATCAAAGAATCTTGAAAAAAGTATCACGGGTTCCAAAAAAATATGAAGCAGCAAAACTGTAATAAATCAGTATATTAGAATGATTTCTGAAGATCATGTGACACTGAAGACTGGAGTAATGATGCTGAAAATACAGCTGTGCATCACAGAAATAAATTCCATTTTAAAGTATATTAAAATAGAAAACCAGTATTTTAAATTGTAAAAATATTTCACAATATTACAGTTTTTTTCTGTATTTCTGATCAAATAAATGCAGCCTTGATGAGCAGAAGAGACT